GGTTAGGGTATAGTATCATGCCCAAAAATCCTGCTAATTCGAGGTCTAGATAGCATTTTCATACTCAAAGTATGCGGTACCCCGGATTTCACCCGGGGTGAGAGAGAGAGAGAGAGAGAGTTTATTTTACTTTCAACACTAATTAATACCTTTGAACTCAACTCCTTGAGTGGAATATGACATGCCAAAATTTGGTATGAAATCACAGGCTAACAACTATATAGACTTGTTACAATTTTCTTACTAAACTCATATTTATTAAATATTCTTCTTTTGACCCAATAGCTCGGTTTACACTATTGTAACTATAAATGTTTTTTGTTATATATGTGAAGTAAAACATTAATGTTTATTTATTACCTCAATCGTCGAATTTAGATTTTTCTTAGCATGAAATGTGATGTTTAACGTACATACTTAACAAAGATTTTTCTAAATTTCACACATTTAATTTTTCAAGGGATCTCGTATCTCATCCTAGAATATGAAGTCAAAATTCATCAACTATTATACTCAAATCATTTTTTAAACTTCAATTTATAATCTTTAACAATAAATAATTCCAAGTCTGAAAAGAAAATTTCTTAGCATATGATGTAAGACCTCAATAGAGCTTGCTCAATCAACATGACCTAGAGAAAATATTAGTAATGTGAACGTAGGATACATTATAAATACTGCACATGCGATTCATATGTTTTCACTTGATGAGAATGAATAAGAAGCTTTTTTAATAAATAACTATTATTTCTTGGTCAAGTTTCTTTCAGACCTTATCGACAAAATATTATTATTTTTGTGTGTTTTTTTAAATTATTCATTAAAATATAAATTATTATTAAGTTTTAGTAAAAATGAGCAAAAATTTACATAGTAATCTTTAATCATATATTTTTTGGTTTGAAAAGTGTGATATTTATGTCAGTTTACGAACATTAGTATACTGTTGCGTATATCGATATAATGCAAAACCAAAATGTGATATATGTCACTCTCCATCATGATTGTCACGTCGGCCGGCATGCCATCGGTTGAACCATTCAACCGGTACCGGTCATGAAATTGACATGGCACCATCGGTATGATCGTTTTACGAATTTCTAAGTAAAATACGTAGTTTTAGTGAATTTAAGTATGAGTATATGCAATTTTATTTGAAATATCATATTTTATTCAAATATCAATATGAATTGTACGTAAATTGTCTTCAAATATGGTTTATATATGATTAAATTCATTTGATATTAATGATTTTTGATATTCTTACATATTTTATTAACCGGCATGAACCGACACAAACCGGTTGTACCACTGGTAAAACTAGGGCTGGGCATGCGGGCGGATCATCCGCGGGTTTGGGTCGACCCACCCGCATTTGACCCGAATTTCGTTAAGTGGGTGGGTCTATGGGTGGGTGACGGGTTGCGCTGGGAGCCATCCACCGGGTGGTGGGTGGGTTGTGGGTGGGTGCGCGGGTGACCCGCTCAACCCAACAGCAAAAAGATCAAAGTCGTCGGCGCTAGAGAGGGGAGAGTGGAGACGTTAGACATAAACTAGGACTGCTCCTGGAATTTAAACCTCAAAGCCAACCTTCCAAATAGCGATCCCCTCTTCTTCCCTTTATTTTTTCCTCTAATTCTTGTGCCTAAATCACTGCTCTTTCCTTTGTGGAATTATTTTTCTTAGTTCCTTGCACCTGATAATCATCTCAATTTGTAGAAAACTCTTTCATCATAGAATTTCTATCCATTTTAAGAACTAATTCGACATTTTTCGTCCTATTTCATCTTCTTGTTTCCCCATATAACTCTCTTCGCCTATTATCATGTCAAGTTGACTCTTTTATATTATATACATTGTGATGTGGGTGAACCCACAAACCCACCCAAATCATCCACCATCCGCCTGACCCAACCCGAGACTAAATGTGGGTGGGTGGTGGGTTAAAAATTATCAATCCGTTTAAACGCGGTTGAGTGCATTTTATGGTCAAAACCCACCCAACCCACCCAATGCCCACCCCTAGGTAAAACCATTTCACTTGCTAACCCAGTTTGATAACCTTTCTCTCTATATATTATTTATAGATATAATACAAAAACAAAAGAAAAATAATTATTGGATAAAAGAGAATTAAATATTAAATGAAGAGAGAGGGACAACTCCATAAATAAGTCAATAACTATTTTTTTGATAAAAAAATTTTACACCTTGGCAACTTGAGATCACTTCAAGTGCTTATGTGGCAAAAATTTAATTTTGAACTGCCATAATATTATAGATAGATAGATAGATAGATAGAAGAGAAGTGTGAGTGTTCACGTGTACAGAAGGTGGCCAATTATACAAATTACAAAATGGTACTTTAATAACATAAATTAACACGTCCGTGTGTCTTCCCTCCTTTTATTTGTCCGACTCTCCCTCTGCTCTCTCTTCGATGTCCTATCTATAGATCCAGAGCTACCTGCTCTCTCGAAGAGTCTCTCCCACTAGGGCTGGGAATCCGGTTCTGGTTTTCCGGTTAAACCGAAAAACCGGCCAGTTAAAACCGTTCCGGTTGCAACCGGATACCCATTAACCCAATCCAATTTACAGTTACTATGATGGTATAAAAAACTGGGTCGGTCCAGTCCGGTTAAAACCGGATAAACCGGATAGTAAATAATAAAGTCAAGCCCACCCCAGCCTTACTATTAAAGCCCACTACACCAATTCTCCCAGCCCGCCAACGAACCCCGGCCCGCAAACACCCCTATCCCAACCCTAAATTGCATCTCCTCCTGGCCACAAACCTAAAAATTGCAGCAGCTATCCCACTGCCTCCATCAATCTACTCTCGAACGATTCCTTCCCTTCTCTCTGACCATGTTGATCTCCCTCTACATTCTATAACACCACTTCCAGCCCTCCCTCAACCCCCTCTCTAACTAGCCAAATCCCTCCTCAATCTCCCTAATCCATCCCACTTTCCTCTGCGATACACTGGGCGACGAACGCCGCCGAAGTTCGCCGAAGTGTTTGCAAGCGACAATAACGGCGATGAAGGAGTCAAGGAGCTCTCCGAGTCCCCTGCACGCGACGACGGCGGCGGCGAGGAGGCAGAAGGCACAAACAAAGACAATAGCCGATGATGGTGACGATCTCCGCCACGTCACCGTTCGATTCGGCAACGACTTGGGTTTGCATGCAATGGGGGAGAGATTTCAGGGAGGAGAAGAGGGATAAGGAAGAAAGATCGAGAAAGAATAGAGAGAGAGAGAGAGATTGAGAAAGTCAGAAAGATATGGATGGTTGAGAAGTAAAGCAAATATACCTCTTATGCCTTATCTATTTCATTGTTTTTTTTATTTTTTCCATTTTTCTCCAAACGGCAACGTTTTCTACAAGGGATTAATGCAAGCCCGGTTTTCGGTTTAAAATCGGATCGGACCCAGTCCGGTCACGGTTGAAACCGGATGTCATCCAATCCCGTCTCCAGTTGGGGTATTTGTCTAAACGGTTTCAAAAAACCGGGTTAATCCGGTTCGGTTTAAACCGGACCGGACTGTTTCCCACCCCTATCTCCCACCCCTTATTCTGTACCTGCTCCCTCTTGTCTGTTGCCCATATCCGCTCGATTACATCTAGGGATGTCAATCAAACCCGTAACCATGGGTACCCTATCCGACCGTAACCGGTCAATGAGGGTAATAACCCGCTTTGACAGGTTAAGGGGCGGGTACGGGTAATACCCGGTTTCAAAATAAAGGGTAGGGTACGGTTATGGTAATCGATAATACCCGCCCGTTATACCCGCCCCGCTAACCAAAGGATAAATTTCCCTTGAGAAATTTATTTTAGCTTGAGAAATTGAGTTTAGCTACCATTATTGATGATGAAGATGTAGACGATTATTATGTTTGTGTGGATTAATGTAGAAGAAAGAACAATTATTATGTGTTTGCTATTTTTATTTGTGTGGATTGTTGAAACTAGAACAGTTACAAGTATTGAGAATTTTTAATGGACAAGAGTATGTATGTGCATATATGTGTATAAGTTCATAGTTTAGGATTCGTACCCATGGTTACCCGAATACCCGTGGTTACCCGGTGGGTAGGGTATGGTTATATAATTTTCATACCCGGTGATTATTTGGTCGGGTATTTTAGAAAGCTCGACCCGGCGGGTCAGGAGTTGGTATAGGGTAAACCCGCACCCGACCCTACCCATTGCCATCCCTAATTACATCGAATAAAGGTTAGTTAGCTGAATGAGAAGAAAACCAGGTGGATTTCATTTCGGACCTGGTGCGACTCGAAAATTGTCTTCCTTTTGTAACATGAGCAAACCGAGCTACGAGATCTTTTGGACCAACCTTTAGTCCGTCATATTTTGACCGGATTCACCTCGTTTCCATAAGTGTAGAAAAGGATTAAAGGTAAATTTAATTTTTTTTAGGATGCAGGACAAAATACACTCACAATTATTTAAGGCTTCAATGGTTAATTGAGAAATTTTATAACCGTTCATATTCGTAAGAGGAAGGAATGAAAAATCGTACTATATTTGCGGTTCGTATAGAAAAATCTTTTATTGGAAGTTGAATCGGTAGGTGACATTTAACTTTATGAAATAGTGGTTGAACTACGGTTAAACTACAGTTTCAATAGAATATTATAACATTGAGTTTTCCGATACAATCTCCAATACTGTTTTACAATCATTGCGAAGGATTCAAGAAGAGAGCGAGAGATATTCCAACTAGGAAAAGTTGGAGAGGTAGTATATATAGGTCAAAGACTAGCGTTTGATCCTTGTATGCTTTAATATACCAGTCCATCTGCTGGCCCAGAAACGAGTTTGTTAGGATTCGGAAATTAAGCGAGTAAAAAAGGCCCACTTTTGCTATACGTTATCTTAGGTGATTCATATTTGACAAAAGTTTCTCTTCTTGGCTGTATCTATCTTTCTCCAAACTCCAACTGGACAAGTGGTTGGTTAAGAAGTAGAATTACCGAACATTTTATTCATAATAACTTAGCAAGGAAACACGCGAAGTCAACAAGCACCGGCCGTAGGATCATATCGATAATCGTAGAGATACAGTTTTAGACTCCACAGTAAGCATGCAAAGCAGAAGGTGCTCTTTGGCCAGCTTCCGAGTAGTAAAATTTAAGAAACTCCACATGATCAAAGGGCTTGAACACCAAAGGGTGTTCCTCGTCAACCACTTCTTCCGGGGCTTTGATAATGTAACCAGCTCTTGGGATTGAAAATAGACCTAGGGAATATCTGGCTTCATTTCCAGACATCATCACACGATGAAAGGCTGAATGCAGCCGACCATTCAACCATGCCTGCAAGAAAACAACACACCAATACATCATTCGGTATAGATTACAAAATATGAATTCATTAAACGATTTAAGCCAATTTTTTGAATTCAATCGATTTGTCACATCTAAAAGTGATAGCGGAGGAGCGAGAGAGTGAAACTTACATTAAGAGAGTCGCCAATCATGACGATGAAAGAGTTTGGGGAGGGCTGGAATTTAATCCACCCGCCATCTTTGGTCTGCACTTCCAGTCCTTCGACTTGATTCTGATACAATATGGTCACGATGTTCTTGTCTGTGTGAGCGTACAGACCAATTTTGGTGTCAGGGGTCTGGGGACCTTTGTACTTCATCACCCTCAGTAGGTAGTTTGTGGAGTCGATGTGCTCGTCCATGTATTTCTCAAGTCCAAAGCTTTCGACGATCATTTTTCTCACCGTTTGATCGAATTCTGAAAGCTGCTCCGAGTAAGACTGGATTGTTTTGCTGCCAAATACAAGGAAAAATTAATTATTCACATCATGCGGAAAGACGAAAAAGAAGAATATGTACTATGGCAACTTAATTACCTGAAACTTGGGTTTCCTTGAGGCCACGTCTTGGTCAAGGTTTCAACTTTTTCAAGAGCATCGGCATCATCGATGCCCATGCTTTCATAGAGTGGAGCCTGAGGGTACTGTCCAACATAACCATGGAAGGGTTTCTTGGATACATTCCGCAGCTTAGTTTGCAAAGGAAGGTCGAAAAGCTCTTCCAGTGACTCGAAAACCGCGGTGCGAATTTCGACAGAAATCTTGTCGAAGGATGCCTCGAAGCAGCCATACTCTTCCAGCGCCTCGCGAACTTGGGATTTCAAGGATTCCCACTGTGGAGTGCCTGGCTTCGTTAGTTCTGGCTTTGAGAAATCTAGGAATGGGAGTTTGGGATAAGATTCTGAACCCATTGTTTTAGCTTTGGTTTGAAGGTAACAAACGCAAATTGCTCTTAGTGGTGGTTTCGGACTATGTTAACCTATGCCGATATTTATAGCGCTGTGGTGGTATTGTGTTGTTGGTGGTAAGAGTGCTATTATATGTACCGGGTTTTAGTTGTTGTCAAGGGGTACGAATTGCTACAAATAAACAAAAAAACAAAATCAAATTGCTGAATTCACGTGAAGCAACTTGTTCCGACCGAATCCCAGAAAAAAACAACACCTTGTTAACAACAAAATCCAAGCTGTAGGACGACAATTATATTGGAGAAAGTGACATATGGCTCTTTTCACTATGCAAATTTTGTTATCAAGTGTGAGCTTTTATTGTCTTTATTGACAAGAATGATTCCATTGATAGCACGAGTATAGTCTTGCTTCGTGTGTATGGGTTGGTTGATGGAAATAATTTTGTTTTTCTTAAAAAAAAAATTTGGATTACATAAAGAAGATAATGAACTTGTGATATGAGAAAGCCTTTTTAAAAAAGCCCTCTATAATATATGGCAAAATCTCATGAGATTTTCACTATTTTTATTGGTTCGCGTTGGATTGGTATTCATTTGGCTGAACTAGTATTGATTTCCCTGTCCGTCTGAACTAGTACTAGCTTGCGCTGGATTGATATATTAGTTTTTTTCAATTGCTATTGGTTCGCGATAAATTGTTATCAATCTGTCTGAACCTGTCCTGTTTTGTATTGGATTGGTATTTTTTGAAGTGGTAGTGTTTTTATGATTTCATGTCAAGTTTTCTCTTTGTTGTCATGGTGACTACCGCTAAGATGGTCGCCATATATATCCGCTCCTTACAATTACTGATGTTATCATTTCATAACTATACACTTCCTACCATTTGGTAGAGGTGGACATCCCAGAAATAGCTTTAATCGTTCGCATTAACGAAGCATACCATCAGACCCCTGAGGGTGTCGCCTAAGCCTCACTATGTAGGACCAGAATTACTGGCACAACTAACAAATTAACAGTAACGGTCGGAAAAAAATAATTGTTGGGCCATAAGGGCTGACTAAGCGGGCCCGAGCCCAATAACTCGGAGTCAGCCCAATAGGTAAGAGAAAGGCCCAAAGGAAGAGCCCGGGAAGGCGAAGAAAAAACCCGCGGGAGGCGGGAAGAAACCCGCAAGCGTGCATGGGGAAGGTAAACTCGACGTGACCGTGATAGCAGCAATGATGGCTGCACTGGCAGCATTAAATGCTGCCGTAGGCGTAAATGCGTGAAGAACAAGTCAGGTACACGCCCAACAGGTCAATAATTACCCATACCGACCCCCACATGTTATAAATACGAATCCACCACATCATTTAATAGTAACTCAACTACCCCAATTATCTCTCTACTTTCTCTCTATCTAAAACTAACTTAATCATCGGAGGGTGTCCGAGGCATCCGCCTCCGGATCCTTTTTCAGGTACGAAGCACGCTTGCATCAGGGGAAAGCGAGGATTCTCCCAGAACAGCCTCGATCCCGCCTCGGAACATTCCAGGCTTAAACAATAATACTGATGCAGTAGTACCCATATGGCCATATAGAAACATTTTGCTTAATTACTCTGTTCTTCCCAACTTGAAACAGAGGAATATAAACTTGTTCCCTTTCTATTCCCAAAAAAGCTTTGATCTGAATTTCTCAACAGAGCATGCAATACGACCCTGTGGGTGTCACCTACACCTCACTATCTAGGACCAGAATTACCGGCACAACAAAGATAGTAATATTTGTTCTTATATGAACAAACATAGAGATTTGTTACTTGGATTCCTTTGCTTATTGATTGGATTCCTTTTCCATAACAATCCGATAGTGTAATATTTGTTGTTATACGAACAAACAGAAAGTTCTATTAATAATTTATTGTTAATAAAAAAATAGATTATACTCCTTTTTAGAGTATGATGAAATCGATTAGTGAATGACTTTGCGGTCATGTATGTAGTTGCAGTTAAAACCGAGTCGGATAATTAATTACACGATTCAATTTGACTGCATCGATTAGTTTGCAATCATGAATGTGGTACGGTCCAATAAACATGCGATGCTGTTAGCATGATGGCGGTGCGGTCAAACAGCACAATTTGCGCATCCCTACCATCTGTTAGCAAGTAACCAGACGACCAACGTGTGCGAGGCTGAATATTTATGGTCTCTCTACGACAGTCAGCCAGGAGCATCAACATATATAGTACTAACAGGGGCATAGCAGGAATTCCTCTAGCGTGGGTCCATTTTCAAAAAATTACATAGGATAAAGGATAAATAGTTTTTGTTAACGGTTTTAATCATAATTAAATATTATAGTTTGTAAATTTTGATAAATTAATATAAATTGACAGTCGAAACTATAAAAGCTATTACAATATGTGTACAAAATCATTATTCATGATTTAGTTATTAATTTATTATCAATAACTAGATGTTATGTTTAATAATTGGTCGTACACCATTTATTAACATACTTTCTCAAATAAAGATAGACTTATATGGCTTGAAGTACAGATTCGATTATCATGTACTTATCATATGAGATCACATAGGTGCAAATACAAGACCTCGGTCATCCATTCTCTATTAGACATACCTAATTTTCATTGTCATTCAACTAGTATATACAATTTATCCATTTTACTCATGAGGACGCACCCTATAACACTGTTCCTCTTCTCTAGCAGAAATAAAGTTTAATTTATGTTCTTACAAATTAGCATAAATTTATTATTAATATTGAATATGCATCATTGTTATTTTTACTTAACTCGTTACAAAATTTTGAATTTGTGAATGAACGATTTGTAAATTATACATTAATCCTTTGTCATTCTCAATAAGACGTCTCTAATTTTTATTCTCAATTAATTATTTTACCTAATTTATCCATTTTTCTCTGTATACGGGACCCACCCTCTAACACTCTAGCTCCGCCTCAGAGTATTAGAGACCGCTGACACTCAATTGTTAGGTTAATTGTAAACTTACCATGGACTATTAATGTATAAAGGGGATTTTTTTTTTTTTTGCATTAAACGGAGGCAAAAGCCAAGAACAAAAGAGGGGGATACAGGGGTTAAGATGAAGGGGAAGTTCGAACGTAGTTCCTAGAAGATCATCACGAATAATTGGCGCTAACTCGAGAGATGGTTCAACAAGCTCATGCATATCGTAGGGATAGACGAGATTGTGCTTTGAGAGCCAGTCTGCGACTCTATTTCCTTCGCGCTATGTGTGAGTGATGCTAACCAACCAATCCATACTCAAGTTCATGCGGATCATCGAAAGAAGAGTAGTATACCGGTGTAAAGGATCAACTCTATTATGAATAAGGTGCATGGCCAACTGGGAGTCCGTCTCAACTGTGACCACTTGGCAGCCAAGCGTCCAAGCAAATTCAAGACCATAATTAATCCCCCAAACCTCTGCCAGAGCTGCTTTCGCCGATCCGATGTTAGCCACAAAACCTCCAAGCCACCATCCTATTGAGTCCCTGGCTACACCGTCCGCCCAAGTCGGTCTGGGGTTCCCGTTCGATGCCCCATCTACATTCAGCGTAACCCATTCATCTTGAGGAGGCAACCACCGAATATTTAGCCCATTGAGGATCAGCTGGCCGTGATCAGTTGTCGGGAAGGAGCGTCGGAACGTGCCACGAGACGTGCCAGAGCATGGTCTTCGTATCGATGTAATGTACAAGATTCGGGGGAGATAGCGCTACGTTCCTTCCTTGGAGAGAAGCTACGCACCTATTCTTCCATATAAGCCACGCTGCCATGCTGAAGAAAGCAGGCCAGATGATTCCTTTGGGGGTTGATTCGTCATCTAACAAATTCATCTGGAGCCATTTCATTTGTCGGATGCTGAAAAAGTGTTGCTGTTGTCCACTAGGAACTTGCCGAGGCCAGAAGAATAGAGCAGGGGGGTAGTCTCTGAGTATATGAAGGATCGTCTCTGGTTTCCCCGTGCACCTGTCACATAACGGATTCGCCGCGATCCTCTTTATGTATCGGAGAGTATTGGTGACTATTCTGCCCGAAAAAGTAAGCCACATAAAGGTTCTGATCCGTTCCGGAACCGAGAATCGCCAAATAGCCTTCCAAGTCTTCTTAACCGGATCCTGCTGATGCGTAATTAGTGTAAACGCCGATTTAGTGGAGAAACAACCATCTGCAGAAGCGGACCAGAACAGATTATCCTAATCTTGAGAAAGTTTATCCACTACAACACTCAAAATCTCCTGGATAATCTCGGTCAACAAAAGGCTATCGAAAAGCTCCACGCACCAGCTCCCCTCGTCTCCAACAAATACATCAACCACCGCTTCCTCAAGCTCGGGCGAAATGTCACTAGTAGCCACCTCTCAAAGTGGTACCTGCAAAATCCAAGGATCAAGCCAAAACTTAGTGTGCCTACCACTCTTAATATTCCATGAACATCATTTTTTTTTTCCAGAAGATGTGCAGCTTTAGAAAAGCTGGACCAGGTAAAGGAGCTTTCCTGAATTGACCGGAGTAAGTTAAGGCCCTGCCTTTGTCTTACATACTTCGCTTGCATCACTTGCGCCCATAGGTTGTCCTTCTCATGAATCAGGAGCCATCCCCCCCCCCCTAGCCAACATCGCCATATTAGCTTGCCTCGAGGGTCTAATTCCAATCCCTCCTTTATTTTTCGGGGCTATCATTCATTCTCAGGCTACACGGTGCATCCTGCTCTTCGTCTGCATGCTAGGCATCAGCTCCGTCTGCATGCTATAGACCGGAAGGGGAACATATATGTGGATGAAATCTTAAAATACACATGTTTTTAAAAAAGATTCCCAAAATACACACGTTATACAAAAAATTCCCAAAATACACATGTTTTGGCATCACTGCATCGTCAACCGCAGTGAATGCATTCACCGTGGCAGACGAAAGCGGTGAATGCATCACCGCGGTCGATGGCCTCGGTGAACGCCTGACCTAACTCCGAAACTTCAAATGAACGTAATTTGGTGCTCGGTTATC